GGTTCATCTCCAAGGTTCATGTCCAAGGTTTCACCTCCAAGGTTTCACCTCCAAGGTTTCACCTCCAAGGTCTCACCCCCAGGGTCTCTCCTGGGTCCCCCCTGCCCCGGGCTGGGTGCCTGAGTCCCAGGAGGATGAGGGGACCAGGAGGCCCCCGGGATAACCTCGGGAAGGGCTCCGTGCCCGGCACGGGGGGCAGAGCCCGCCCTGGGGCTCCTCCAGGAGACACAGCCAAGGAAAGGCACCCAAGTTTATTGGAAACAAATCTTTATTAGGCAACTTTATTATCAGAAAAAATTAAAACTCTCGAAAAGTGTCTCTGCAGCAAATATATATATATATAATATATATGGCCATCAGAAGTTAAAGGCCCTTTTTTATCATAAAATAGACGTTTTGTTGTTTGTTTTTTATTATTATTATTATTATTTAAATTATTTTCTTTCAACGTTTACTCAAGTAGAATTTTGTAACCCACCCCCCCCTTCCCCTCTGTGACCTCCCTGCACATACATATAAAATATGCTTTTTTTTTCTTTTTTGTGGTGCTTTGGTTTTTTTCTTTTTTTCCTTTTTTTTTTTTTTGCTACACAAACGGCTTTGTTGTTCTCTTCCAAAAAAAAAAAAAAAAAAAAAAGAAAAAAAAAGAAAAAAAAGAAAAAATAAATTAAATTGTAAGAGATCCACTCTGTGCCTTTCTTGTCTGTCTGCCGGGTTTTTGTTGTTGTTGTTGTTTTAACAAAAACGCCAGCGCAGAGGGTTCGAGGGGCTTGGGTTTAACCGTCTGGAAAGGCGAAATTTCGAAGTTTTTTGGGGGTTTTTTTTCGCGAAACGGAGCGAAATCCCTGCCAGGAGCGAGGCCCCCGGCTCCCCCTCGCTCCCTTCCCCCGCCTGGAGCGAAATTCCTGTCTCGGTGTGCGCAGGACGGGAACGGACGGGACACAAAGAGGCTTCGCGGTTTTGGTTTAAACACCCTCCCACCCCCAAAAAAAACCAAACAAACAACAAAAAAAAGGGGAAAAGAGGAGGAGAGCCCGATGGGACCGACAGGGGAGGGAAGGAGAAGGAGGAGAAAGAAAGGAAAAGGAAAATAAAAGAAAGTCAGCGCCCTCTCCGTGCGCTCGCAGCCCCCTCCCCGACACGGGACCGAGCCCTCTGACAGCCCTTTCCCAGGACAGAAATCCCCAAGGCAGCAATTCCCAGGGCAGGAACCCCCGGACAGGAATCCCCAGGGCAGGAATCCCCAGGATAGAAATCCCCAGAACAGGAATCCCCAGGGCAGGAGCTCCCAGGGCAGGAATCCCCAGGATAGAAATCCCCAGGACAGGAACCCCTGGACAGGAATCCCCAGGGCAGGAATCCCCAGGGCAGGAATTCCTAGGATAGAAATCCCCAGGACAGGAATCCCCAGGGCAGGAATCCCCAGGATAGAAATCCCCAGGGCAGGAATCCCCAGGGCAGGAACCCCCAGGGCAGGAATTCCCAAGACAGGAACCCCCAGGGCAGGAATCGCCAGCCCGGGATGCTCCGGGCGGGGCGGGCAGGGCAGGTCCCCTCTCCTCCCCCAGCTCAGGGCGATGAATCCCCCTCCAAACCCAAACAGCACGGCCCGTCTCAGTGCCCTAAACCCGGGACACGCCCCAGCTCAGGGAGATGAATCCCCCTCCAAACCCAAACAGCACGGCCCGTCTCAGGGCCCTAAACCCGGGACACGCCCCAGCTCAGGGCGATGAATTCCCCTCCAAACCAAACAGCACGGCCCGTCTCAGGGCCCTAAACCCGGGACACGCCCCAGCTCAGGGCGATGAATCCCCCTCCAAACCAAACATCACGGCCCTCCTCAGGGCCCTAAACCCGGGACACGCCCCAGCATAGCCCAGGAGCGCCTCCCACACCGAGGGGCTGGGAGCGAGGTCCTGGTACAGACAGGGGGGAAAAGGGGGGTGGGGGGAAAAAACATCCAAACAAACAAACAAAAAAACCCAAAACCCCAACCCCGAACGTTTCCCCGAGCCTGTTCCTGTGTTGCTGAGCGCTGTTAGAACCGGCGGTGTGAGGAGGAGGCAGCGCTGGAGGCGGGTGCTGCCGGGCAGGATGGTGCTGAGCCCCCCTGGGCAGACCGGGAGCGCTCCCGGGGACCGCTCTGCAGGAGGAGCACCCGGGGTGTTTGTTCTGCGGGAGGAGCACCCGGGGTGTTCTGTTCCCTCCTTTGTTGTTGGTTGGTTTGAGCCCTGCCCTGCCACAGAGCCCAGCCGGGCGTGTCCCTGCCGGGCACAACTCCCGCCCCGCGCACCCCGAGCCGGGCAGGGCCTCCCTGGGGGTCTGCGGGGGCAGGAGCTGCCCACGGGGGCAGCACGGACACGGGGGCAGCACGGACACGGGGGCAGCACGGACACGGGGGGGCACGGACACGGGGGCACCACGGACACAGGACAGCATGGACAGACACGGGGGGGCACGGACAGACACGGGGCAGCCCGGCAGGACAGTCCCGGCACCTGCGATGGGGGCTGGATGGGCTGGGTGACACGGAGGGTCCCTGAGGAGCAGATCCAGATGGGCTGGGTGACACAGAGGGTGCCCCATGAGCAGATCTGGATGGGCTGGGTGACACGGAGGGTCCCTGAGGAGCGGATCTGGATGGGCTGGGTGACACGGAGGGTCCCTGAGGAGCGGATCTGGATGGGCTGGGTGACACAGAGGGTCCCTGAGGAGCAGATCTGGATGGGCTGGGTGACACGGAGGGTGTCCCATGAGCAGATCTGGATGGGCTGGGTGACACGGAGGGTGTCCCATGAGCAGATCTGGATGGGCTGGGTGACACAGAGGGTGTCCCATGAGCAGATCTGGATGGGCTGGGTGACACAGAGGGTGCCCCATGAGCAGATCTGGATGGGCTGGGTGACACAGAGGGTCCCTGAGGAGCAGATCCAGATGGGCTGGGTGACACAGAGGGTGCCCCATGAGCAGATCTGGATGGGCTGGGTGACACGGAGGGTCCCTGAGGAGCAGATCTGGATGGGCTGGGTGACACAGAGGGTCCTGAGGAGCAGATCTGGATGGGCTGGGTGACGCAGAGGTGTCCCATGAGCAGATCTGGATGGGCTGGAGTGACACAGAGGGTGCTCCCATGAGCAGATCTGGATGGGCTGGGTGACACAGAGGGTCCCTGAGGAGCAGATCTGGATGGGCTGGGTGACACGGAGGGTCCCTGAGGAGCAGATCTGGATGGGCTGGGTGACACGGAGGGTCCCTGAGGAGCAGATCTGGATGGGCTGGGTGACACAGAGGGTCCCTGAGGAGCAGATCTGGATGGGCTGGGTGACACAGAGGGTGTCCCATGAGCAGATCTGGATGGGCTGGGTGACACGGAGGGTGCCCCATGAGCAGATCTGGATGGGCTGGCACAGAGGGTCCCAGAGCAGTCTGGATGGGCTGGGTGACAGAGGGGTCCATGAGCAGATCTGGATGGGCTGGGTGACAGCAGAGGGTCCCTGAGGAGCAGATCTGATGGGCTGGGTGACACAGAGGGTGCCCCATGAGCAGATCTGGATGGGCTGGGTGACACTGGAGGGTCCTGAGGAGCAGATCTGGATGGGCTGGGTGACACAGAGGGTCCCTGAGGAGCAGATCTGGATGGGCTGGGTGACACGGAGGGTCCCTGAGGAGCAGCTCTGGATGGGCTGGGTGACACGGAGGGTCCCTGAGGAGCAGATCTGGATGGGCTGGGTGACACGGAGGGTCCCTGAGGAGCAGATCTGGATGGGCTGGGTGACACAGAGGGTGTCCCATGAGCAGATCTGGATGGGCTGGGTGACACAGAGGGTGCCCCATGAGCAGATCTGGATGGGCTGGGTGACACAGAGGGTGTCCCATGAGCAGATCCGGATGGGCTGGGTGACACAGAGGGTCCCTGAGGAGCAGATCTGGATGGGCTGGGTGACACAGAGGGTGTCCCATGAGCAGATCTGGATGGGCTGGGTGACACGGAGGGTCCCTGAGGAGCAGATCTGGATGGGCTGGGTGACACAGAGGGTCCCTGAGGAGCAGATCTGGATGGGCTGGGTGACACAGAGGGTCCCTGAGGAGCAGATCTGGATGGGCTGGGTGACACGGAGGGTGTCCCATGAGCAGATCTGGATGGGCTGGGTGACACAGAGGGTGTCCCATGAGTAGATCTGGATGGGCTGGGTGACACAGAGGGTCCCTGAGGAGCAGATCTGGATGGGCTGGGTGACACAGAGGGTCCCTGAGGAGCAGATCCAGATGGGCTGGGTGACACGGAGGGTGTCCCATGAGCAGATCTGGATGGGCTGGGTGACACGGAGGGTCCCTGAGGAGCAGATCTGGATGGGCTGGGTGACACAGAGGGTCCCTGAGGAGCAGATCTGGATGGGCTGGGTGACACGGAGGGTGTCCCATGAGCAGATCTGGATGGGCTGGGTGACACAGAGGGTGTCCCATGAGTAGATCTGGATGGGCTGGGTGACACAGAGGGTCCCTGAGGAGCAGATCCGGATGGGCTGGGTGACACGGAGGGTCCCTGAGGAGCGGATCTGGATGGGCTGGGTGACACGGAGGGTGCCCCATGAGCAGATCTGGATGGGCTGGGTGACACGGAGGGTGTCCCATGAGTAGATCTGGATGGGCTGGGTGACACAGAGGGTCCCTGAGGAGCAGATCCGGATGGGCTGGGTGACACGGAGGGTCCCTGAGGAGCAGATCTGGATGGGCTGGGTGACACGGAGGGTGCCCCATGAGCAGATCTGGATGGGCTGGGTGACACAGAGGGTGTCCCATGAGCAGATCTGGATGGGCTGGGTGACACGGAGGGTCCCTGAGGAGCAGATCTGGATGGGCTGGGTGACACAGAGGGTCCCTGAGGAGCAGATCTGGATGGGCTGGGTGACACAGAGGGTCCCTGAGGAGCAGATCTGGATGGGCTGGGTGACACAGAGGGTCCTTGCACTACGAGCAGATCTGGATGGGCTGGGTGACGGTGACCTGGCACACGGTGCCTACGAGTGGCTGTGGACAGCCTGTGTGACAGTGGCGTGGCACTACGAGCGTATCTGGACAGCCTGTGTGCCGGTGGCCTGGCCTATGAGTGGCTGTGGATGACCTGTGTGCCGGTGGCGTGGCCCCTACGAGTGGCTGTGGACAGCCTGTGTGACAGTGGCGTGGCACTACGAGCGTATCTGGACAGCCTGTGTGCCGGTGGCCTGGCCTATGAGTGGCTGTGGACAGCCTGTGTGACAGTGGCCTGGCACAGGGGCAGGCGGGCGGGTCTCACTGGCAGACCCTGCTGGTGCAGTCCATGCAGAACAGGCTGTGCCCGCAGGGCACGAAGGCGGTCACCGCATCACTGTCGGAGCAGAGCACGCACTCCAGGTGGTGCTGACCCTCCAGGGGTGGGCTGGATGAGGATGAGGAGCAGCTGTCGAGGTAGTGCTGACCCTCCAGGGGCGAGCTGGTTGAGGAACAGTTGTCAAGGTGGCACTGACCCTTCAGGGGCGAGCTGGCCGAGGAGCTGTGGCTGGCCGAGGATGAGGAGCAGCTGTCAAGGTGGCACTGACCCTCCAGGGGCGAGCTGGCCGAGGATGAGGAGTGGCTGTCAAGGTGGCACTGACCCTCCAGGGGTGGGCTGGTTGAGGAGCAGCTGTCAAGGTGGCACTGACCCTCCAGGGGCGAGCTGGCCGAGGATGAGGAGCGGCTGTCGAGGTGGTGCTGACCCTCCAGGGGCGAGCTGGCCGAGGATGAGGAGCGGCTGTTGAGGTGGCACTGACCCTCCAGGGGTGAGCTGGTTGAGGAACAGTTGTCAAGGTGGTGCTGACCCTCCAGGGGCGAGCTGGCTGAGGAGCTGTGGCTGGCTGAGGATGAGGAGCGGCTGTCAAGGTGGTGCTGACCCTCCAGGGGCGGGCTGGCCGAGGATGAGGAGCGGCTGTCAAGGTGGCACTGACCCTCCAGGGGCGAGCTGGTTGAGGATGAGGAACAGCTGTCAAGGTGGCACTGACCCTCCAGGGGTGAGCTGGCTGAGGATGAGGAACAGCTGTCAAGGTGGTACTGACCCTCCAGGGGCGAGCTGGCCGAGGATGAGGAGCGGCCGTCGGAGGAGCAGCGGCTGTCGGTGCTGGTGGAGAAGGCGGGGGTGCAGAGGGGCAGCCCCCAGCCCGGCTCCAGGCTCTGGGGGAAGGGGGGCGACAGGCAGGGCGTGGGGGGGCGGCTGCCGAGGCTCAGGGGCTCGAGGGGAGCCCAGATGCTCCGTGTGAGGGCGGGCAGGGGGTCGTAGGCGAGGCGCTCAAGGGCCGGCTCTTCCCCGCACCAGGAGGGGCCGAGCTCGGCCCGGAGGGAGTCGGTGGAGCCGCTGCCCGGTGAGCTGTTGCCGTCGCCCCCGGGGCCGCCGAGCCCCCCGGGCCGCGCGGGCAGGGCGCAGGCGCCGGGGCAGGCGTCGCCGTGCCGCAGGTCCAGCAGGGCGCCGGTGCGGGCGGCGATGTGCGCCACGATCTCCCTGCGCGCCTGCTCCACGTCGCGGGGCGCGCCCGTCACCTCGAAGACGGGCTCGCCGTGCCGGCGCGGCGTCACGATGCAGGTGCGGGTGCGGCGCTGGATGAGGCGCACCGTGGCGCCCCGCGGCCCCACCACCAGCCCCACGGCGCAGCAGGGCACCCGCAGCCGCGCCGTGGTGCGCCCGGGCAGCCCGCGCCGCGCCCGCTCCTGCAGCGCCCGCAGCACCGAGAAGCGCTGGGCCACGGCCCCGATCTCCCAGCGCGCCGCAGCCACGTCCTCCGGCCGGCCCGACACCACGAACACCGGCTCCTCCCCGCGCTGCGGCGTGCGGATGCGCGTGTTGGTGCGGGAGCGCAGCGCCTTGATCCGGCAACCTGCGGGGGGAACAAATGAGGGGTCAGTGTGGGAGGGGAGCTGGGCACGCAGAGCCTTGATCCGGCAACCTGGGGGGGGAGATAATGGGTTAGTGTGGGAGGGGAGCTGGGCACACAGAGCATTGATCTGGCAACCTGGGGGGGAGAGATAATGGGTTAGTGTGGGATGGGGAGCTGGGTTAGTGTGGGAGGGGAGCTGGGCACACAGAGCCTTGATCCGGCAACCTGGGGGGGGAGAGATAATGAGGGGTTAGTGTGGGAGGGGAGCTGGGCACGCAGGGCCTTGATCCGGCAACCTGGGGGGGAGATACACGAGGGGTTAGTGTGGGATGGGAGCTGGGTCAGTGTGGGATGGGAGCTGGGTCAGTGTGGGATGGGAGCTGGGTCAGTGTGGGATGGGAGCTGGGTTAGTGTGGGATGGGAGCTGGGTCAGTGTGGGATGGGAGCTGGGTTAGTGTGGGAGGGGAGCTGGGTTAGTGTGGGATGGGAGCACAATGGGTTAGTGTGGGATGGGAGCTGGGTTAGTGTGGGATGGGAGCTGGGTTAGTGTGGGATGGGAGCACAATGGGTCAGTGTGGGATGGGAGCTGGGTTAGTGTGGGATGGGAGCTGGGTTAGTGTGGGATGGGAGCTGGGTTAGGGTGGGATGGGAGCTGGGTTAGTGTGGGATGGGAGCTGGGTTAGTGTGGGATGGGAGCTGGGTTAGTGTGGGATGGGAGCTGGGTTAGTGTGGGATGGGAGCACAATGGGTTAGTGGGAGGAGCTGGGTTAGTGTGGGATGGGAGCTGGGCTGAGTGTGGGATGGGAGCTGGGTTAGTGTGGGATGGGAGCTGGGTTAGTGTGGGATGGGAGCTGGGTTAGTGTGGGATGGGAGCACAATGGGTCAGTGTGGGATGGGAGCTGGTAGTGGGATGGGAGCTGGGTTAGTGTGGGATGGGAGCTGGGTTAGTGTGGATGGAGCTGGGTTAGTGTGGGATGGGAGCTGGGTTAGTGTGGGATGGGAGCTGGGTTAGTGTGGGATGGGAGCTGGGTTAGTGTGGGATGGGAGCTGGGTCAGTGTGGGAGGAGCTGGGTTATGTGGATGGGAGCTGGGTTAGTGTGGAGGGAGCTGGGTTAGCTGGGATGAGCTAGAGTGTGGGATGGGAGCTGGGTTAGTGTGGGATGGGAGCTGGGTTAGTGTGGGATGGGAGCTGGGTTAGTGTGGGATGGGAGCTGGGTTAGTGTGGGATGGGAGCTGGGTTAGTGTGGGATGGGAGCTGGGTCAGTGTGGGATGGGAGCTGGGTTAGTGTGGGATGGGAGCTGGGTCAGTGTGGGATGGGAGCTGGGTTAGTGTGGGATGGGGCTGGGTGTGGGATGGGGCTGGGTTAGTGTGGGATGGGAGCTGGGTTAGTGTGGGATGGGAGCTGGGTTAGTGTGGGATGGGAGCTGGGTTAGTGTGGGATGGGAGCTGGGTTAGTGTGGGATGGGAGCTGGGTTAGTGTGGGATGGGAGCTGGGTCAGTGTGGGATGGGAGCTGGGTTAGTGTGGGATGGGAGCTGGGTTAGTGTGGGATGGGAGCTGGGTCAGTGTGGGAGGGGAGCACAATGGGTTAGTGTGGGATGGGAGCTGGGTTAGTGTGGGATGGGAGCTGGGTTAGTGTGGGATGGGAGCTGGGTTAGTGTGGGATGGGAGCTGGGTTAGTGTGGGATGGGAGCTGGGTTAGTGTGGGATGGGAGCTGGGTCAGTGTGGGATGGGAGCTGGGTTAGTGTGGGATGGGAGCTGGGTTAGTGTGGGATGGGAGCTGGGTTAGTGTGGGATGGGAGCACAATGGGTTAGTGTGGGATGGGAGCTGGGTTAGTGTGGGATGGGAGCTGGGTTAGTGTGGGATGGGAGCTGGGTTAGTGTGGGATGGGAGCTGGGTTAGTGTGGGATGGGAGCTGGGTTAGTGTGGGATGGGAGCACAATGGGTTAGTGTGGGATGGGAGCTGGGTTAGTGTGGGATGGGAGCTGGGTTAGTGTGGGATGGGAGCTGGGTTAGTGTGGGATGGGAGCTGGGTTAGTGTGGGATGGGAGCTGGGTTAGTGTGGGATGGGAGCTGGGTTAGTGTGGGATGGGAGCTGGGTTAGTGTGGAGGAGCCGGGTTGGTGATGAGACAATGGGTCAGTGTGGATGGAGCTGGGTTAGTGTGGGATGGAGCTGGGTTAGTGTGGGATGGGAGCTGGGTCAGTGTGGGATGGGAGCACAATGGGTTAGTGTGGGATGGGAGCTGGGTTAGTGTGGATGGGAGCTGAGGTGGGATGGGAGCTGGGTTAGTGTGGGATGGGAGCTGGGTTAGTGTGGGATGGGAGCTGGGTCAGTGTGGGATGGGAGCTGGGTTAGTGTGGGATGGGAGCTGGGTTGGTGTGGGAGGGCTGGGTTAGTGTGGGATGGGAGCTGGGTTAGTGTGGGATGGGAGCTGGGTTAGTGTGGGAGGGGAGCTGGGTTAGTGTGGGATGGGAGCACAATGGGTCAGTGTGGGATGGGAGCTGGGTTAGTGTGGGATGGGAGCTGGGTTAGTGTGGGATGGGAGCTGGGTTAGTGTGGGATGGGAGCTGTTAGTGTGGGATGGGAGCTGGGTTAGTGTGGGATGGGAGCACAATGGGTTAGTGTGGGAGGAGCTGGGTTAGTGTGGATGGGAGCTGGGTTAGTGTGGGATGGGAGCTGGGTTAGTGTGGGATGGGAGCTGGGTCAGTGTGGGATGGGAGCTGGGTTAGTGTGGGATGGGAGCTGGGTTAGTGTGGGAGGGGAGCTGGGTTAGTGTGGGATGGGAGCTGGGCACACAGAGCATTGATCCGGCACCCTGGGAGGGGAACAAATGAGGGGTTAGTGTGGGATGGGGGCTGGGTCAGTGTGGGAGGGGAGCTGGGCACACAGAGCCCTGATCCTGCACCCTGGGAGGGGAACACACGAGGGGTCAGCATGGGATGGGAGCTGGGTCAGTCTGGGATGGGAGCTCCAGACCCTCCCCAATCTACAGCCCAGTTAATTAATTAACTCCAGACCCTCACCAATTCAGACCCAAGGTCATTAATTCCCCTGATCCCATCCCTGATCCCCTGATCCCATCCCCTGATCCCCTGATCCTCTGCCCTGATGCCATCCCCTGATCCCATCCCCTGATCCCCCGATCCCATCCCCTGATCCCATCCCCTGATCCCCTGATCCCATCCCTGATCCCATCCCTGATCCCGATCCCATCCCTGATCCCATCCCTGATCCCTGATCCCTGATCCCATCCCTGATCCCCGGATCCCTCATCCCATCCCCTGATCCCCAGATCCGATCCCTGATCCCATCCCTGATCCCATCCCCTGATCCCCAGATCCCCAGATCCCCAGATCCCCAGATCCCCTGATCCCCTGCCCCCAGGGGACGGGAACAAGCCCATGAATAAACCCTAAACAACAAACCCTAATTAAAAGAGAACGGTTCCATCTGCAGGAGGGCTTTGAAGCCCGGGGAGGGGAGGGAAGGGATTCCTCCCCCTCCTCTCTCCTCGCTTCCCTTCGCACCCAAAATTCCCTCCCTCCCCTTCCCCCCCTTCCCACGGCCCCCCAGGCCGAGCCCAGACCACGTCTGGGACAGGAGAAGCCAAGTCCTTGGGTTTTTGCCGTGAATTAATTAATTATTATCTCCTCCTGCCGTGAATTAATTATCTCCTCCTGCCGTGAATTAATTATCACCTCGTTCCCGGCCGGGACGAGCCCCAAACAATCAGGAACCAGCCGGGCAACAATCAGGGCGGCCTTGAAACCCCAGGGGGTTGGGATTTCTCTTTCCCGGGTGGCAATCCTGGCTTTTTTTGGGGTGTTTTTTTTATTTCCCTCATCTCCCGTTTCCTTCCACGTTCACGGGTGGGGGTGGGAGGATGGGGAGGGAACAAACAAAAACCCCTCCCCAAAAAACAAACCCAGGGGAATAAAGCGGTGGGGATGAGGGAGACACCAGAGGAGGAGGAGGAGGGTCCCCACTCGAGAAGGGGAGGGGACAAGGAGGGGGAAGGGGGAGAAGGAGGGGGGAAGGGGAGAAGGAGGGGTCCCCACTCGAGAAGAGGGGACAAGGAGAGGGGAAGGGAGAAGGAAGGGGTCCCCACTGAGAAGGGGGGACAAGAGGAGAGGGGTCCCCACATTGAGGGCAGGGAGAGGAGGGGGGTCCCCACTCCGAGAAGGGGGAGGGGAGAAGGAAGAGGGGGAAGGGGAGAAGGGGAGGGTCCCACTCGAGAAAGGGGAGGGGAGAAGGAGGAGGGGAGAGGGGAGAAGGAGGGGGTCCCCACTCGAGAAGAGGGAAAGGAGGAGGGGAAGGGGAGAAGGTGGGGTCCCCACTGAGAAGGGGAGGGGACAAGGAGAGGGAAGGGGGGAGAAGGAAGGAGGGTCCCCACTCGAGAAGAGGGGAGGAGAAGGTGGAGGGGGAAGGAGAAGGAGGGGGAAGGAGAGGGAGTTGGAAGGAGAGAAGGAGGAGGTCCCTACTCCGGGAAGAGGGAGGGGAGGGGAGGGAGGGTGCGGGGAGAAAGAGGGTCCCACTCGAGGAGGGGAAGGGGAGAAGGAGGAGGGGGAAGGGGGAGAAGGAGGGGTCCCACTCGAGATGTGGGAAGGGGAGAAGGAGGAGGGGGAAGGGGAGAAGGTGGAGGGGAAGGGGAGAAGGAGGAGGGGGAAGGGGGGAGAAGGAGGGGTCCCCACTCGAGAAGGGAGGACAAGGAGAGGGGTACCCACTCGAGAAGGAGAGGAAGGAGGAGGAGGAGGAGGAGGAGGGGAGAGGAGGGAGGGTCCCCACCGAGAAGGGGGAAGGAGAAGGTGGAGGGAGAGGAGGAGAGAGGGGAGGGTCCCCACTCGAGAAGGGGAGGGGAGAAGGAGGAAGGAGGAAGAGGAGGAGGGGAGGGTCCTCACTCGAGAAGGGGACAAGAAGGAGAAGGAGGAGGGGGAAGGGAGAAGGAGGGGGTCCCCACTGAAGGAGGGAAGGGGAGAAGGAGGGGGAAGGGGAGGAAGGAGGGGGTCCTCGAGCAGGAGAAGGAAAGAGGGGAGGAAGGAGGAAGAGGGAGAAGGAGGGAGGGTCCCACTCGAGAAGGGGAAGGGGAGAAGGAGGGGGAAGAGGGAGAAGGGGAGGAAGGGGAGGAAGGGAAGGAGGGGGGGAAGGGGAAGGAGGAGGAGGGTCCCCACTCGAGAAGGAAGGAAGGGACAAGGAGGAGGAGGAAAGGGGAGAAGGAGGGGGGTCCCCACTCGAGGAAGGAGGAAGAGGGAGGAGGAGGGAAGGAGGGTCCCCACTCGAGAAGAAGGGAGGAAGGGACAAGGGAGGGGGGAAAGAGGAGGAGGAGAAGGAGGGTCCCCTACTCGAGAAGGGAAGGGGAGAAGGTGGAGGGGGAAGGGGAGAAGGAGGAAGGGGGAAGGAGGAGAAGGAGGAGGGGAAGGAAGGAGAAGGAGGGGGTCCCCACTCGAGAAGGAAGGAAGGGGAGAAGGAGGAGAGGAGGGGAGAAGGAAGGGTCTCCACTTGAGAAGGGGGAAGAGGGAGAAGGAGGAGGGGGAGGGGAGGAGAGGAGGGGTCCCCACTCGAGGAGGGGGAAGGGGAGAAGGAGGGGGGTCCCCCACTCGAGGAGGGGGAAGGGGAGAAGGAGGAGGGAAGGAGAGGAGGAGGAGTCCCACTCGAGAAGGGCACAAGGGAGAAGGAGGAGGTCCCCACTCGAGAAGGGTGAAGGAGAAGGGTCCCCACTCGAGAAGGGGCACAAGGAGGAGGCTCCCCACTCGGGGGGAGCTGGAGAAGAAGAATAGGAAGGTCCCCACTCGGGGATGAGCCCCACCACCACCACCCCATTTCCACCCCCACAGCCCCCACTCACCGTGGCGCCCCACGATGTCGGCCACGTGCTCGGAGCTGGGCACGGCCACGCACTCGGTGGTGGTGACGCTCCCGTCGTGGGGCGGCGAAGCCTCCTCTGCCCCGGTCCCGGTCCTGGGGTCGATGGCGATGCCGGTGCCGATCCCGATCCCGATCCCGGTGTCGATCCCGGTGTCGATGCCGATCCTGGTCCCGATCCGGCCCTGATGCCGGTGTCGATTCGGTGTCGATCGATCCTGGTGCGATTTCAGTCGATTCCAGCCCGATCCCGGTGCCGATCCCGGTGTCGATGCCGGTCCCGATCCTGATCCCGGTGCCGATCTCAGTCCCGATTCCAGCCCCGATCCCGGTGCCGATCCCGGTGTCGATGCCGGTCCTGATCCCGGTGTCGATGCCGGTGTCGATCCCGATCCTGGTGCCGATTTCAGTCGATTCAGCCCGATCCCGGTGCCGATCCCGGTGTCGATGCCGGTCCCGATCCCGGTGCCGATCCCGGTGTCGATGCCGATCCTGGTCCCGATTCCAGCCCCGATCCCGGTGTCAGTCCCGATCCTGATCCCGGTCCCGATTCCAGCCCCGATCCCGGTGTCGATGCCGGTCCCGATGCCGGTCCTGATCCCGGTGCCGATTCCGGTGTCGATCCCGATCCTGGTGCCGATTTCAGTCCCGATTCCAGCCCCGATCCCGGTGCCGATCCCGGTGTCGATGCCGATCCTGGTCCCGATTCCAGCCCCGATCCCGGCGCCAATCCCGGTCCCGATCCCGATGCCGGTCCTGATCCCGGTGTCGAACCCGGTCCCGATCCCGGCCCTAATCCCGGTGTCGATGCCGGTCCCGATCCCGGCCCTGATCCCGGTGCCGATCCCGATTCCAGCCCCGATCCTTGCCCCGATTCCGGTGTCGATTCCAGCCCCGATCCCGGCGCCAACCCCGGTCCCGATCCCGGCTCCGGCCCCGATCCCGGTGCCGATCCCGGTGCCGACTCCGATTCCAGCCCCGATCCTTGCCCCGATTCCAGCCCCGATCCCGGTGCCGACCCCGATTCCAGCCCCGACTCCGGTGCCGATCCCTGCCCGATTCCAGACCCCGATCGATCGGTCGATCCGGCTCCTCCCGCGAGCAGCGCGGCCCCCACCGACCCCTCCAACCCCGGCAGCGGCACCACCGAGACCGCCTCTCTTTCCTCCCCATCCCCATCATCCCCATCATCCCCACCATCCCCCCGAGCCATCAGCTCCTCCTCCTCACCCTCCCGGCCGTGCCGCAGCCCCAGCCCCGCCAGGCTCCGCCGCAGCAGCACCAGCGGCGGGAGGCGCGGCACGGGGGGTTTCCCGGTACAATCAGCGTCGCTGCGCATGGCGGGGGTCGCTCCCTTCTTGTTTTGTCCCGGTTTGTCCCGGTTTTGGGGGTTTTTGGGGTTATTTTAAGGCTGAGGAGCCGCCATGACGCGGCCGCGCCCTTTCGGTCCCATGGCGGGAGCTCCTCTGAGGGGAGGAGGGCGGGGCGACCACGCCCATCAATGCTCGCTGCTGATTGGTGGGGACGGAGAGGTGGGCGTGGCCTGGGAAACAGGCGGGAAAAGGGAGGTGGGCGTGGCTTCGGGGTGATTGACGGGTGGGTGAGGCCGCTAAGCCACGCCCACTCAGCTCCCTCAAGGGGAGGGGGAAGAATTGACCCCAAAAATGGAGAAAATCGACCCAAAAATGGAGCAAATCGACCCAAAAATGGAGCAAATCGACCCAAAAATGGAGCAAATCGACACAAAAATGGAGCAAATCGACCCAAAAATGGAGGAAAATGACCCAAAAATGGAGCAAATCGACCCAAAAATGGATCAGATTGACCCAAAAATGGAGCAAATCGACCCAAAAATGGAACAAATCGACCCAAAATGGGAGTAAATTGACCCAAAAAGGGACAAATTGACCCAAAAATGGAGCAAATCAACCCAAAAATGGAGCAAATTGACCCAAAAATGGAACAAATCGACCCAAAAATGGAGCAAATTGACCCAAAAATGGAGCAAATCGACCCAAAAAATGGAGCAAATCGACCCAAAAATGGATCAGATTGACCCAAAAATGGAGCAAATCGACCCAAAAATGGAGCAAATCGACCCAAAAATGGATGAAATCGACCCAAAAATGGAACAAATTGACCCAAAATGGGTCAAATTGACCCAAAAATGGAGCAAATCGACCCCAAAATGGATCAAATTGACCCCAAAATGGATCAAATTGACCCAAAAATGGAGCAAATTGACCCAAAAATGGGTCAAATCGACACAAAAATGGATGAAATCGGCCCAAAAATGGAGCAAATTGACCCAAAATGGAGCAAATTGACCCAAAAATGGAGCAAATTGACCCAAAATGGAGCAAATCCACCCAAAAATGGAGCAAATCGACACAAAAATGGAGAAAATCGACTCAAAATGGAGCAAATCGACCCAAAAATGGAGCAAATCGTCCCAAAAATGGAGCAAATTGACCCAAAAATGGAGCAAATCGACCCAAAAATGGAAAAGATTGACCTAAAAATGGAGCAAATCGACCCAAAAATGGAGCAAATCAACCCAAAAATGGAGGAAAATGACCCAAAAATGGAGCAAATGACCCAAAAATGGAGCAAATCAACCCAAAATGGAGCAAATCAATCCAAAAATGGAGCAAATCAACCCAAAAATGGAACAAATTGACCCAAAAATGGATGAAATTGACCCAAAAAGGAATCAATTGACCCAAAAATGGAGCAAATCGACCCAAAAATGGAGCAAATTGACCCAAAAATGGAGCAAATCGACCCAAAAATGGAGCAAATTGACCCAAAAATGGATCAATTGACCCAAAAATGGAGCAAATTGACCCAAAAATGGAGCAAATTGACCCAAAAATGGATGCAAATCGACCCAAAAATGGAGCAAATTGACCCAAAAATGGAGCAAATAGACCCAAAAATGGAGCAAATCGACCCAAAAATGGAGGAAATCGACCCAAAAATGGAGCAAATTGACCCAAAAATGGAGCAAATTGACCCAAAAATGGAGCAAATCGACCCAAAATGGAGCAAATGACTAGAAATGAGAAATCGACCCAAAAATGGAGCAAATCGACCAAAATGAGAATCGACCAAAATGGAGCAAATAGACCCAAAAATGGAGCAAATCGACCCAAAAATGGAGGAAATCGACCCAAAAATGGAGCAAATCGACCCAAAAATGGAGCAGATCGACCCAAAAATGGAGCAAATTGACCCAAAATGGGTCAAATTGACCCAAAAATGGAGCAAATCGACCCAAAAATGGAGGAAATCGACCCAAAAATGAATCAATTGACCCAAAAATGGATGAAATTCACCCAAAAATGGAGCAAATCGACCCAATTATGGAGCAGATCGACACAAAAATGGAGCAAATTGACCCAAAAATGGAGCAAATCGACCCAAAAATGGAGCAAATCGACCCAAAAATGGAGCAAATTGACCCAAAAATAAAGAAGATTGACCCAAAAATGGATGAAATAGACCCAAAAATGGAGCAAATCGACCCAAAAATGGAGAAAATCGACACAAAAATGGAGCAAATCGACCCAAAAATGGAGCAAATCGACCCAAAAATGGAGCAAATTGACCCAAAAATGGAGCAAATTGACCCAAAAATGGATCAGATCAACCCAAAAATGGAGAAAATCGACCAAAAATGGAGCAAATCGACCCAAAAATGGAGCAAATCAACCCAAAATGGAGCAAATCGACCCAAAAATGGAGCAAATCGACCCAAAAATGGAGAAAATTGACCCAAAAATGGATGAAATTGACCTAAAAATGGAGCAGATTGGTCCAAAAATGGAGCAAATCGCCCCAAAAATGGAGCAAATTGACCCAAAAATGGAGCAAATCGACCCAAAAATGGAGCAAATTGACCCAAAAATGAAGTGGATTGACCCAAAACAGGAGTAAATTGACCCAAAATGAGTCAAATTGACCCAAAAATGGAACAAATCGACCCAAAAATGGATGAAATAGACCCAAAAATGGAGCAAATCGACCCAAAAATGGAGCAAATTGGCCCAAAAATGGAAAAAATCGACTCAAAAATGGAGCAAATTGAGCCAAAAATGTAGCAAATTGACCCAAAAATGGATCAGATCGACCCAAAAATGGAGCAAATCGACCCAAAAATGAAGGAAATCGACCCAAAAATGGAGCAAATCGACCCAAAAATGGAGCAAATCGACCCAAAAATGGAGCAAATCAACCCAAAAATGGAGCAAATCGACCCAAAAATGGAGCAAATCGACCCAAAAATGGAGCAAATTGACCCAAAAATGGATCAATTGACCCAAAAATGGAGCAAATTGACCCAAAAATGGAGCAAATTGACCCAAAAATGGAGCAAATCGACCCAAAAATGGAGCAAATCGACCCAAAAATGGAGCAAATCGACCCAAAAATGGAGCAAATTGACCCAAAAAAGGAGCAGATTGACCCAAAAATGGGTCAAATCGACCCAAAAATGGAGCAAATCGACCCAAAAATGGAGCAAATTGACCTAAAAATGGAGCAAATCGACCCCAAAATGGAGCAAATTGACCCAAAAATGGAAAAAATCGACTCAAAAATGGAGCAAATCAACCCAAAATGGGAGTAAATCGACCCAAAAATGGAACAAATCCACCCAAAATGGAGCAAATCCACCCAAAAATGGATCAGATCTCCTTGTCCTGGACCTGAATTTGGTTCCTGGACTTGGATTTGGTTCCTGGATCTGGATCTGACTCCTGGATCTGGCTCCTGGATTTGATTCCTGGACCTGATTTTGGTTCCTGGACCTGGATTTGGACCCAGACCTGGACCTGGATTCCTGTCCTGGATCCGGACCCAGATCTGGCTCCTGGATCTACTCCTGGACCTGGATTTGGTTCCTGGACCTGGATTTGGTTCCTGGACCTGGATTTGGTTCCTGGACCTGGATTTGGTTCCTGGATCTGGATCTGGACCTGGATTTGGTTCCTGGACCTGGATCTTGCTCCTGGATCTGGATCTGGACCCAGACCTGGACCTGGATCTGGTTCCTGGACCTGGATTAGGTCCTGGATCTGGATCTGGCTCCTGGATTTGGATCCTGGATCTGGATCCCTGTCCTGGACCTGGATTTGGTTCCTGGACCTGGATTTGATTCCTGGACCTGGATTTGGTTCCAGGTCCTGGATCTGGATCTGACTCCTGGATTTGGTTCCTGGATCTGGTTCCTGGATCAGGATCTGGCTCCCGGATCTGGCTCCTGGATCCCTGTCCTGGATCTGGATCCCTGCATTGACTCTGACTCCTGGATTAGGTCCTGGATCTGTCTCCTGGACCTGGATTTGGTTCCTGGATTTGGTTCCTGGACCTGGATTTGGTTCCTGGATCTGGACTTGGATCCCTGTCCTGAACCTGGATCTGGGTCCTGGATCTGGTTCCTGGACCTGGATTTGGTCCTGGATCTGGATCTGGCTCCTGGATTTGCTCCTGGATCCCTGTCCTGGATCTGGATCCCTGCATTGACTCTGACTCCTGGATTAGGTCCTGGATCTGGATCCTGGACCAGGATTTGGTTCCTGGACTTGGTTCCTGGACCTGGATTTGGTTCCTGGATCTGGATTTGGACCCAGACCTGGACCTGGATTCCTGTCCTGGATCTGGACCCAGATCTGGTTCCTGGATCTACTCCTGGACTTGGATTTGGTTCCTGGACCTGGATTTGGTTCCTGGACTTGGATTTGGTTCCTGGACCTGGATTTGGTTCCTGGACCTTGATTTGGATCCTGGATCTGGATCTGGACCTGGATTTGGTTCCTGGACCTGGATTTGGTTCCTGGACCTGAACCTGGATCCCTGTCCTGGATCTGGATCTGGCTCCTGGATCCTGGACCTGGATCTGCTCCTGGGACCTGGATTTGGTTCCTGGACCTGGATTTGGTTCCTGGATCTGGATTTGGTTCCTGGTCCTGGATCTGGACCTGGATTTGGTTCCTGGACCTGGATTTGGTTCCTGGACCTGGATTTGGTTCCTGGACCTGGACCTGGATCTGGAGATGGCTCCTGGATACTGGTCCTGGATTTGATTCCTGGACCTGGATTTGGTTCCTGGACCTGGATTTGGTTCCTGGACCTGGATTTGGTTCCTGGACCTGGATTTGGTTCCTGGACCTGGATTAGGTCCTGGATCTGGATCTGACTCCTGGATTTGGTTCCTGGATCTGGATCTGGATCCCTGTCCTGGATCTGGATCTGTCTCCTGGATCTGGCTCCTGGACTTGTTTCCTGGACCTGGATTGGCTCCTGGATCTGGATCCCTGTCCTGACTCTGACTCCTGG